GGCTCAGAGGCTTACAGAAGCTTTTCATTAAAGGTCCAAGTGTGGGAGGCAGTTGGACCACTTGGAACAAAAATGAAAATATTTGCTAGGACAGAAGGTACAAAGAGGTGCTGAAAGAGAGCTCTGTTTCTCTCTCTCTCTCTCTCTCTCTCTCCCCTCCCTCCGCCCCTCCCCACCCATTTTGGAACTGATAGTATGTATGTCTCTGCTATTTAATCAGTTTTTTCCTATTGTAAAGTTTTATAGCTTTTTCCTCTGGATCCTGCATCTTTTGTTAGGTTTCTTCCTAGGTATTTCATAGTTTCTATTGCCACTGTGAATGGGATCCTTTTTCTCTCCTATTGGATTTTGCTACAATAAACTATTAATTTGGTGTGTTTACTTATGACCATTTTATTAGTCTTGATAGTTTTCAGTTGCTATCTTAGATTTTTCTAAGTGCACAGTTACATCATCTGTAGAAGCAATGACAAGTTGCATTTTTCCCTCATTTATTCTTCATTTCTTTTTATTGTCTTACTGAATTGGTAGGTATCCCCTAGACATTATTTTAGAGTAGCCAGACTAAGAGATATCGTTCTTCGGTTCTTACATGTTAGGAAGAAAATACTGTATATTTTATTTTTATTTTTTATTAAGGTATTATTGATATATAATCCATGAGCAACATTGTGGTTACTACATCCCCCCTATTATCAAGTGTCCCTCCCCACACCCCATTGCAGTCACTGTCCATCAGTGTAGTAAGATGCTCTAGAGTCACTACTTGTCTTCTCTGTGCTGTACTGCCTTCCCCGTGACCCCCCTACATTATGTGTGCTAATCGTAATGCCTCTTAATCCCCTTCTCCCTCCATCCCCACCCAGCCTCCCTAACCCCTTCCCCACTTCTATATATTTCAACATTAAATTTGATGCTTGCTGAAGATATTTGATAGTCATTTTGTCAAATTAAGAAAATTTTCTTCTATGTGGTACATATACACAATGGAATACTATTCAGCCATAAGAAAGAAACAAATCGTACCATTTGCAACAACATGGATGGAGCTGGAGGACATTACGCTCAGTGAGATTAGCCAGGCGGAGAAAGACAAATGCCAAATGATTTTTCTCATTTGTGGAGCATAACAATGAAGCAAAACTGAAGGAACAAAATAGCAGCAGACTCAGAGACTCCAAGAATGAACTAGTGGTTACCAAAGGGGAGGGGTGTGGGAGGGCAGGTGGGGAGGGAGGGAGAAGGGGACTGAGGGGTATTATGTTTAGTACACATGGAGTGGGGGATCACAGGGAGAACAGGGTATCACAGAGAAGGGACATAGTGGATCTGTGGCATTTTACTACACTGATGGACAGTGACTGCACTGGGGTATAGGTGGGGACTTAATAATATGGGTAAATGTAGTAACCACATTGTTTTTTCATGTGAAACCTTCATAAGAGTGTATATCAATAATACCTTAATAAAAAAATTTTTCTTCTATTTTTCATTTACTGAGGATTTTTATCAATACTCAGTGTTAAATCAAATACTTTTTTGACATCTATTGAGATAATCTTTTTTCTTTTACTCTCTTAATGCAGTGAATATCTTAATTCTTTTTGCCTGCTGTACTATTTTTGCTTTCTTGGGATAAACACTACTTGGTCATGATACATTCTTTTTACTACTCTCACTACTAAATTTGATTTTATTTAGAATGTTTCTATCTACATTCATAACCAACAGGCCTCTACTTTTTTTTTCTCTTTTTTTTACTTACGTTTTTCCTTGCTGTGTCATATTTTATATACTTGGGAGCTAGGTGTACCTTGAAGATTTAGTAACATTCACTCATAAAAATGTATGAGCCTGGTGACTTTAAAGATAATATTTTGACTGCCTTTTTAATTTTAATTATCATATTCAAGGGCTGTTAATATCCTAAACACTTTTCTCTGATCTTAAGTAAGTTACTGACTTCATCAAATCTCAGTTTTTTCCCCCTCAGTTTTATTGAGAAATAATTGACATAAATCACTGTATAAAGTTTAAGGTATACAGTATGATAATCTGATTTACATATATTATGAAATGATAGTACAGTAGGTTTTGTTAACATCCATCTTCACATATACAATAAAAAGAAGGGGGGGTTTCTCCTTATAATGAGAACTCTTAGGATTTACTCATTTAACTTTCCTATATGATACATACATATCATATGATATATAATATAGCAGTGTTCACTATAGTCCTCATGTTGTACATTACATCCTAGGCCTTATTTATCTTATAACTGGAAGTCTGTACATTTTGAGCACTTGCCCTAATTCTCCCTCCTCTCAGCCCTCACCTTTGGTAACCATAAGTCTGATCTCTTTTCTATGAGTTTGTCGTTTTGGTTTGTTTTGTTAAATTCTACATATAAGTGAGATCATACAATATTTGTCTTTCTCTGATTTATTTCACTTAACATAATGCCCTCAAGGTCCATCCTTGTTGTCACAAATGGTAAGATTTAGTTTTTTTATGTCTAAGTAATAAATATTCTACTGTACATATATGTGCCACATCTTTATCCATTCCTCTGTCAATGGACTCCTAGGGTGCTTTCATGTCTTGGCTATTGTAAATAATGCTACAGTGGACATGGAGGTACAGATACCTCTTTGACATAGTATTTTCATTTCCTTGGCTATATTCCCAGAAGTGGAATTGCTGGATCATACAGTACTCCTATTTTTAATTTTTTTGAGGAATCTTCAAAGTGGCTGCACCAATTTATATTCCCACCAACAGTGCACAGGGTTCCCTTTTCTCCAGCGTTTGTCATATCTTGTCTTTTTCCTGATGAACATACTAATGGGTATGAAATGATATCTCATTGTGCTTTTAATTTGTATTTTCCTAGTGACTAGTGATGTTGAGCATCTTTCAAGTACCTGTTGTCCACTCATATATCTTCTTTTGAAAAATGTCTAGTCAAATCCTTTCCCCATTTTTTAATTGGATTATTTGGGTTTTTTGTGCTATGAGTTGTATGAGTTATGTATATTTTGGATATTGATCCCATATCAGATGCGTGGTTTGTATTTCTTCCCATTCTATAGGTTGTCTTTTCACTTTGTTGATGGTTTCTTTTGCTGTGCAGAAGCTTTTTAGTTTGATGTAGTGCCACTTATTTTTTTTGTTGCTTGCTTGTATTCTAGGTGTGATTTCAAAAAAATTATTAACAAGACCCATTTCAAGGAGTTTTTTCAAAACTATGTTTTCTTATTAAGAGTTTCATGGTTCTAGGTCTTACATTTAAGTTTTTAATCCATTTCAAGTTATTTCTGTGAGTGATGTACAATAGGGATCCACCTTCATTCTTTACATGTGAATATCCAATTTTCCTAGCACATGTTTGGGTTTGTTTCTGGGCTCTGGTTTTTATGTTCCATTGGTCTTTCTATTTTACGCCAGTACCGTACTGTTTGGATGACTGAAGCCTTACGATATCCCTTGAAATCAAGAAACATGATGCACTGTTCTTCTTTCTCAGGAATTTCTTTGATTATTTGGAGTCTTGTGTGGTCCCATATAAATTTTTTGGAATTTTTTTTTCTATTTCTGTAAAAAATACCATTGGAATCTTGATAGGAATTGCATTGACTCTGTAGATGCCTTTTGATAATATTAACATTTTAACAATAGTAATTCTTCCAGTCCATGAACATAGGTACCTTTCCATTTATTTGTCTTCATTGATTTCTTTCATCAGTGTGTTGTAGTTTTCAGATAACAGATCTTTGACCTTCTTGGTTAAATTTAAATACTTAAATTTTTAAGATAGATGTATAAAATAGAAAACAGAGAGTTGTTACATTCTCACAAACTAGCAGAATATGATTTTTTTCCAGTCATTATTACTTCAAAATTCTTCATCTGATATTTAAAATGTATTTATGTTGAGTCATTTCTTTCTTTTTTTGCTGGTGAACCAGAAGATCATGAAATGATTCTGCAGAGACAGTAGCATTACGTTCAGTTTCTTTTTTGTATATATCAGATAAGAGGCTTGCAAATGGAAGTGAGTCCACCTCACATCCTCTGTATGGTAATGGCAGAGATGTTTGCCTTTATGTCACTAGTACAACACTCATTAGTTCATTACCCACTTCCAAAGAATCTACGTGCTTTTGGTGAAAGGTAACTGTAGTAAGAACAACTAGATTTTGACAGGCTACTTTGGTTTTTAGAAACATTTCTTTCCTTCTTTTTAGTGTTTAAAAACTACCAGTTTTTTTAAGAGTGTTGCAGGGGTGGGGTTGGAGGTTGCCGTGACCAAATGGCAGTTAATGCATATATTTAGAGTTACGATTTCTGAATTTTCAACTAGAAAGGGAAAATAAAAGTGAGGTGCAGCTCAGCTTAAGCCTCAAAATCGCCCTTTCTGAACCAAAGTGTCTTGTTGGTGAAACCTTCACAATCTGAATAAAAGCAACTTAAGAAGCTGACTTTTGTTAAGCCTTGCAGTAATAGAAGAGAAAAAAGGCATCAGCCTCAGAGATTCCCGTTTCCTCATAGACTGAGGGACCACCCCCCCCACCAAACTCACTGTCACCCACTCATTCAGCACGTCTCCCTGTAGCCGGTGGGCATCAGTGGGAGTGGTCCTTCCCCTGAGTCTAAAAAAGGCTACTAAAAAATTGTTTTCTGAAATGCTCACAGTATTTAAGTATTTATTTAAGAAAAGTTTATTATATCAGATAGTGAAAATGGAGAAGGGACCTGGAAATATGTCTGGCAGTTTCCATTACTAGTCAAGCAGAAAAGTTTTGGTTCGGTTTATTTTTCTAGCTCTTACTATATTCTACTTTGATCACTGAAAATATTAGGGACATTAATACATGATATGTTACTTAAATTATTATAAAATTATTATGTATTTCATACATTTTTAATATATATAACATATAATATTATCACTGTATTAGCTTTCCTTTAAAGTACCAATGGCTTTTTTTTTCCAGAGCAATAATGAAATTCCACAGTATGAAAATGGAAGAAATCAACAAAATCATTCGTGACCTTTGGCGAAGTACCTATCGTGGACAAGGTCATGTACACGGTGTATCACAAATGCTCTTTTGAAAGCCCTGTCCCCAGCTGTGCCCCGTGACCTCTCATCATGCCAGTACTACCTCCTGGGCTCCTTTCTGAACATCATTTCGAGATTTTCTAAAAATTCTTATCTTGACAACATCTTGTAGCAAGAAAAAAATGTGAAGTTTTCTATTCTAAAACCTGATGGGACTTACATATTTGGCTGTGGTGCACATTACATCAGGCTGATGACATAATAGGCTCTGCTGAAGTGCAGATAGGGGATAAGCCAAATCGTGGTAAGAAGAGAACCATCAGGAGGAAAACTCCTGATAGGGGAGCTAAGAAAGAGCTGAGGCTGGGGGTCGGGGCATCCGGGTTGCTTCTGGTCGGGAATCCTCATGCGTCCTTTCAGCCAGAGAATAAGATTCCAGTGCCACCAGATTAAGGGTGATGTCAGCCTTGCTCCTTAGGCTTTTTTTGGTATAATGTTTGTAAAGGGCAAAAGGCAACAGAGTGTAGGCTCCTCTGAAATCTTCTTTCTGTGACAGATATTGAATACATAGAAATTCGGTCTGATGCTGATGAAAATGTATCCGCCTCTGATAAAAGGCGGAATTACAACTACCGAGTGGTGATGCTAAAGGGAGACACAGCCTTGGATATGCGAGGACGATGCAGTGCCGGACAAAAGGCAAGTGTCTTAAGAGCCTAGGGAGCCACGTGTACACAGAGAAATAAATGTTAGTGCAGTGGAAGCCCACATGGCTGCCCGTGAATGGTGGGAAGCTCCTTACAGCTCTCCTTGCTGCCCCGTAAGGTGGATCTGGCTCAGCTACCCTCATTATGTTCTGCCAGTTCTGACCAGCATTTCTTGCAAAATTAGGTGAAGTAGGCTTTTAGGAAAAAGGCCTGGAACATTCTCACAGGATAGGCTAAATAGAGAGCAAGATGCTGAAGACCATTCATTGTTTCACACCACTCCTTAGGAGAACAAAGTTACCAGTTAAGAAACACACCACTATTTTATGTGCCACCAAGAAAGAAAAAATGCAGCTGTAATTGTAAGATGTATCCTGATTTTAGAGAAGTCAGAGGTGGGAGGAGGGGTATGTTAGGATCAATGCCGTACAGGTCGAGCAAACTGGATCCTAGTTGAGGCAGATGAGGCATTACAATATATGAGGGTTTCGTTGAGAAAGCGGCCCCATCACAGGACTGAGACCCACCCCAGCCCAGCCTATGGGCCTGCAGCCCATCTGACCTAAGGGCCCGTGGGTGCCTGTCCCCCACCCCCACACCCATGACTCAGAGTCTGGGCCAAGCCACCTGGCTCTACATGAGGCTCTGGGAAGGCAGCCTAGGTTGTACATAGAGCGTGCAGTCAAGTTCTCAAGTCAGGAAGGTGGAACCTGCGTCCTGGAGACACAGGCCAGTCCGTTCACTGCCTAGACCAGTGTCCAGGTGCCCCAGGTGCTTGAGCTTCATTCTTTCAGGTGAGAAGCAGAAGACTACTTGATAACACTTCCGGGCCCCTGATTTTAACAAAAGTTTAAAATGGTAGAAATGAGTGCTCACATCATCTGATTTATTTTCATAAATAGTTCTGAATTTTTGCTTAAAGACACACCATGCATATATGTGTCAGCCCAGACAGCTGATACTGATTTAAGGCATCTGCAGATTATTATCTTACCCATATTCTGCAAAAATGACAAATTTGTGATACATAGTCAGTATTCCCTACTGCTTTGGTGATTTTTAGTGGTAATTATGAATGAGAAAATACCGAGTTTTAAACATGTCTCTTTGGATTAAAAATACTTTCGAAAAGACAGAACAAAAGTAGATTTTCTATAGTTACTCTAAATATAAAAACTAATTAGCAGTAATTCCTTCCTTGGAGTTGGGGAAGAAGATACACAAATGGTTTGCTAGACATGGTCGAGGAACTCCATTCAGACTCTGCTCTGAGTTGGTGGGGAGGGGAGGGGCAGCAGTGGGGATCAAGTCAGGAAGAACGTGCCTGTCCACAAGGCCAAGCTGTGCCCCTGACTTCTACAGTGCTGGCCTGTCCCTGCCAGTACAGAGAAGCTGTGAACTACTCTCAAATCACTCACCCACCCACTCACTCTCTCACTCATACCCCTCCTCTCACACACTCAGGAGGGGAGATATACAGCTCATACAAAAAGAGTTTATACTTCCTAGAATAAGCCTTAACTTTTAATCCTGTGTCCCTTATACACTTGGCTTCAGCATGCTCTCTTTCTCCCCGAAATTATAGACACAAACTAGTTAAGTGTGGGTTACAGCACTATACTGGTGCCTCTTAGGAACCTAGAACTTAGAGATGGAAAGATGACTCTTAAGAGAGGAAAGGTGTCATGATGCTCTGGAAAATGTAATGGGTTCAGGTTTTCTAACAAATCTCATTATCAGGAAAATAAAATAGGTCATGAATTTTTAAGATTGTTAGCATCACACTGTTATTAAAATTACTAGTTTGAGAAAAATGGTAGTGCATTTCTGACTTAAACCTGTGATTGCAAGGGTTTTTTTTGTTTTTCTATTTTGGTATTATTAATACACAATCACATGAGCAACATTGTGGATACTAGATTCCCCCCATTATCAAGTCCCCACCACATACCCCATTACAGTCACTGTCCATCAGCGTAGTAAGATGCTATAGAGTCACTACTTGTCTTCTCTGTGTTGTACAGTCCTCCCCGTACCGCCCACCCCCTACATTATGTGTGCTAATTGTAATACCACCTTTTTATACCCCTTATCCCTCCCTTCCCACCCATCCTCCCCAGTCCCTTTCCCTTTGGTAACTGTTGGTCCATTCTTGGGTTCTGTGAGTCTGCTGCTGTTTTGTTCCTTCAGTTTTCCTTTTTCTTATACTCCACAAATGAGTGAAATCTGGTACTTGTCTTTCTCTGCCTGGCTTATTTCACTGAGCATAATACCCTCTAGCTCCATCCATGTTGTTGCAAATGGTAGGATTTGTTTTCATCTGATGGATGCTTAGGTTGCTTCCATTTCTTGACTATTGTAAATAGTGCTGCAATAAACATAGGGGGGCATATTCTTTTTCAAACTGGGCTGCTGCTTTCTTAGGGTAAATTCCTAGGAGTGAAATTCCTGGGTCAAATGGTATTTCTATTTTTAGTTTTTTGAGGAACCTCCATGCTGTTTTCCACAATGGTTGAACTAATTTACATTCCCACCAGCAGTGTAGGAGGGTTCCCCTTTCTCCACAACCTCGCCAACATTTGTTGTTGTCTGTCTTTTGGATGGTGGCTGTCCTGACTGGTGTGCGGTGATATCTCACTGCAGTTTTAATTTGCATTTCTCTGATGATTAGCGATGTGGAACATCTTTTCATGTGCCTGTTGGCCATCTGAATTTCTTCTTTGGAGAAGTGTCTCTTCAGACCCTCTACCCATTTTTTAATTGGATTATTTGCTTTTTGTTGTTGAGATGTGTGAGCTCTGTATATTTTGGATGTCAACCCCTTATCGGATCTGTCATTTATGAATATATTCTCCCATACTGTAGGATGCCTTTTTGTTCTACTGATGGTGTCCTTTGCTGTATGGAAGCTTTTTAGTTTGATATAGTCCCACTTGTTCATTTTAGCTTTTGTTTCCCTTGCCCATGGAGATATGTTCATGAAGAAGTTGCTCATGTTTATGTTCAAGAGAGTTTTGCCTATGTTTTTTTCTAAGAGTTTTATGGTTTCATGACTTACATTCAGGTCTTTGATCCATTTCAAGTTTACTTTGTGTATGGGGTTAGACAGTGATCCAGTTTCATTCTCTTACATGTAGCTGTCTGGTTTTGCCAACACTGGCTGTTGAAGAGGCTGTCATTTCCCAATTGTATGTCCATGGCTCCTTTATTGTATATTAATTGACCATATATGCTTGGGTCAATATCTGGACTCTCTGTTCCACTGGTCTATGGATCTGTTGTGCCAGTACCAACTTGTCTTGATTACTGTGGCTTTGTAGTAGAGCTTGAAGTTGGGAAGCAAGATTCCCCCTGATTTATTCTTCCTCCTCAGGATTGCTTTGGCTATTCTGGGTCTTTTCTGGTTTCATATGAATTTTATAACTATTTGTTCCAGTTCATTGAAGAATGCTATCAGTATTTTGATATTGATTGCATTGAATCTGTAGATTGCTTTAGGCAGGATGGCCATTTTGACAATATTAATTCTTCCTACCCAAGAGCATGGGATGAATTTCCATTTAGTAGTGTCCTCTTTAATTTCTCTTCAGAGTGTCTTATAATTTTCAGGGTATAGGTCTTTCACTTCCTTGATTAGGTTTATTCCTAGGTATTTTATTCTTTTTGGTGCAATTGTGAATGGAATTGTTTTCCTGATTTCTCTTTCTGCTAGTTCATCATTAGTGTATAGGAATGCAACAGATATCTGTGTATTAATTTTTTGTCCTACAACTTTGCTGAATTCCAGTATTAGTTCTAGTAGTTTTGGAGTGGATTCTTTAGGGTTTTTTTTATGTACAATATCATGTCATCTGCAAACAGTGACAGTTTAACTTCTTCCTTACCAGTGTGGATGCCTTTTATTTCTTTGTATTGTCTGATTGCCATGGCCAGAACCTCCAATACTATGCTGAATAAAAGCAGGGAGAGTGGGCATCCTTGTCTTGTTCCTGATCTTAGAGGAAAAGCTTTCAGCTTCTTGCTGTTAAGTATGATGTTGGCTGTGGGTTTGTTATATATGGCCTTTATTATGTTGAGGTACTTGCTCTCTATGCCCATTTTGTTGAGAGAGTTTTTATCCTGAATGGATGTTGAATTTTCTTGAATGCTTTTTCAGCATCTATGGAGATGATCATGTGATTTTTGTCCTACTTTTTGTCGATGTGGTGGATGATGTTGATGGATTTTCGAAAATTGTATCATCCTTGCATCCCTGGGATGAATCCCACTTGGTCATGGTGTATGATCCTCTTGATGTATTCTGAATTCAGTTTGCTAATATTTTATTGAGTATTTTTGCATCTGTGTTCATCAGGGATATTGTTTTCTTTTTTTGTTATGTCTTTGCCTGGTTTTGGTATTAAAGTAATGCTGGCTTCATAGAATGAGTTTGGAAGTATTCTCTCCTCTTCTATTTTTGGAAAACTTTAAGGAGAATGGGTATTATGTCTTCTCTAAATGTATGATGAAATTCAGCTGTGAATCCATCTGGTTCTTGGGTAGTTTTTTGATTACCGATTCAATTTCATTGCTGGTACTTGGTCTGTTCAGATTTTCTGTTTCTACCTGGGTCAGTCTTGGAAGGTTTTATTTTTCTAGAAAGTTGTCCATTTCTTCTAGGTTATCCAGTTTGTTAGCATATAGTTTTTCATAGTATTCTCTAATAATTCTTTGTATTTCTGTAGTGTCTATAGTGATTTTCCTTTCTCATTTCTGATTCTGTTCATGTGTGTAGCATCTCTTTTTTCCTTAATAAATCTGGCTAGGGGTTATCTATTTTGTTTTATTTTCTCAAAGAACCAATTCTTGGTTTCATTAATTTTTTTCTATTGTTTTATTCCTCTCAATTTTATTTATTTCTTCTTTGATCTGTATTATGTCCCTCCTTCTGCTGACTTTGGGTCTCATTTGTTGTTCTTTTTCCAGTTTCAATAATTGTGAATTTAGACTTCATTTGGGATTGTTCCTCCTTCTTTAAATAGACCTGGAGTGCTATATACTTTCCTCTTAGAACTGCTTTCACTGTGTCCCACAGAAGTTGGGGCTTTGTGCTGTTATTGTCATTTGTCTCCATATATTGCTTGATCTCTATTTTAATTTGGTCATTGATTATTTAGGAGTATGTTGTTAAGCCTCCATGTGTTTGTGAGCCTTTTTGTTTTCTTTGTACAATTTATTTCTGGTTTTTACCTTTGTGATCTGTGAAGTTGGTTGGTACAATTTCAATCTTTTTTGATTTACTAAGGCTCTTTTTGTGGCCTAGTATGTGGTTTATTCTGGAAAATGTTCCATGTGCACTTGAGAAGATTGTTGATCCTGCTGCTTTTGGGTGTTAGAGCTCTGTAGATGTCTGTTAGGTCCATCTGTTCTAATGTGTTGTTCAGTGCCTCTGTGGCCTTACTTGTTTTCTGTCTGGTTCATCTGTCCTTTGGAGTGAGTGGTGTGTTGAAGTCTCCTAAAATGAGTGCATTGCATTCAGTTTCCTCCTTTGATTCTGTTAGTATTTGTTTCACATATGTGGGTGCTCCTGTGTTGGGTACATACATATTTATAATGGTTATATCCTCTTATTGGTCGGACCCCTTTATCGTTATGTAATGTCCTTCTTTATCTCTTGTTAGTTTCTTTGTTTTGAGTTCTATTTTGTGTGATACAAGTACTGCAACACCTGCTTTTTTCTCCCTATTGTTTGCATGGAGTATCTTTTTCAATCCCTTCGCTTTTAGTCTATGTATGTCTTTGGGTTTGAAATGAGTCTCTTGTAGGCAGCATATAGATGGATCTTGCTTTTTTATCCATTCTATTACTCTGTGTCTTTTGATTGGTGCATTCAGTCCATTCACATTTAGGCTGATTATCGATAGATATGTACTTATTGCCATTGCAGACTTTGGATTCGTGGTTACCAAAGGTTCAAGGGCAGCTTTTTTACTATCTAACTGTCTAACTTAATTCACTTACTTATGCTATTATAAACACTGTCTGATGATTCTTTATTTCTCTCCCTTCTTTTTCTTCCTCCTCCGTTCTTCATATGTTAGGTGTTTTATTCTGTACTCTTTGTGTTTCCCTTGACTGATTTTTTGCATAGCTGATTTTATTTTGCATTTAGCTAGTATTTAGTTGGTCTACTTTCTTTACTGTGGTTTCATTTTCTCTGGTGACAGCTATTTAACGTTAAGCATACTTCCATCTAGAGCAGTCCTTTTAAAATACATTGTAGAGATAGTTTGTGGGAGGTAAATTCCCTCAACTTTTGCTTATCTGGGAATTCTTTAATCCCTCCTTCAGATTTAAATGATAATCGTGCTGGATACAGTATTCTTGGTTCAAGGCCCTTCTGTTTCATTGCATTAACTATATCATGCCATTCCCTTCTGGCCTGTAAAGTTTCTGCTGAGAAGTCTGATGATAGCCTGATGGGTTTTCCTTTGTAGGTGATCTTTTTTCTCTCTTTGGCTGCTTTTATACTCTGTCCTTGTCTTTGATCTTTGCCATTTTAATTATTATATATCTTGGTGTTGTCTTCCTTGGGTCCTTGTGTTGGAAGATCTGTGGACTTCCATGGCCTGAGAGACTATTTTCTTCCCCAGATTGGGGAAGTTTTCAGCAATTATTTCTTCAAAGACTCTTTCTATCCCTTTTTATCTCTTCTTCTTCTGGTACCCCTCTAATGTGAATACAGTGCCGGCAGGGAGGAAGGAACAGTTCTCTTAATATTTTTTCATTCCTAGACATCCTTCTATCTCTCTCTGACCCGGCTTCTCTGTATTTCTGTTCTCTGATTTCTATTCCATTAACAGTCTCTTCCACCTTATCTAGTCTGCTCTTAAATCCTTCATTGTTTGTTTCATCTGTTATCTCCCTCCTGAATTCATCCCTTAGCTCTTGAATATTTCTCTGTAGCTCCATCAGCATGCTTATGACCTTTATTTTGAATTCTTTTTCAGGAAGATTGGTGATTTCAGTCTCACCAAGGCCTCTCTCTGGTGTTTGAGGAATTTTGGACTGAACAAGATTCTTCTGCCTTTTCATGGCAATGGGAGTGGTCGCCAGTGAGTGGCGCATGTGTCAGCCTGGAGAACAAAGTCCCTTCCTGCTTGCTGGTCGCCTTGCCTGTCTCCACTGTCTGTGCCAGTTAACCACACACAGGGAGCAGCCTCTGGGTTAATCCCCTGAGCTGCCATGGGCTGGGTATTGGCGGGGGTTGCAGGCAAGTGGCGCATGTTCTGCCATGAGAACAAAGTCCCTTCATGCTTTCCGTACTCTGCGCCTGTGTCCTCTGTCTATGCCAGTCAACCGTGCGCAGGGAGCAGCCTCTGGGTCTGCGCCAGTTAGCCGTGCGCAGGGAGAAGCCTGTGTGTTAAGCTGTGTGGTTGCTGTAGGCGGGGCTGCTACCCAGCTGTTCCACAGCAATGGCAGGTCAGCCAATTTGCTTACAGTGCCAGTGGGGAGGAAGGAACAGCATGCTGTTTATCGTGGTGAGGGGCCTCAGAGCTGCATTGCCAAACAGAGTTAGGGCGCCTGAAGTTCCTTAAAGTTCCCAGCTTGCTGGGCTGAGTGTGCCAGGACAGTTTTGTCCATCTGTTAAACCCTTGTCCCTTTAAGACTTTAAAAGCACCTGCTTTTTTTTTGTCCCAGGGCAGCTGGCTGTGGGAACCGTTCGCAGTCTTAGGCTCAGATTTTGCTTTTCCACTCCTCTAATATCCAGAGCACCCTGCAATGTGTGTCTGTGCGCCCGGGGCAGATTACTTGGGCTGGGTATTTAGCAGTCCTGTGCTTCCAGTCCCTCCCCACTCTGATTCTTTTCTTCCTGCTGGTGAGCTGGGTGGGGGGAGTGCTTGGGTCCCCCTGGGTCAACAGCTTTGTATCTTACCCTTTTCCATGAGATGTTGGGTTCTCGCAGATGTAGCCTGGCTTGTGTACTATATCTTCTGGTCACTCTTTTAGGAATAGTTGTATTTGCTGTATTTTCAAAATAGGTTGGTTTTGGGAGATTTCCGCCACCCTACTCACGCCGCCATCTTTTCCTCCTCTGATTGCAAGTTTTATAGCTGATGTGATTTGTGTGTCAAGGGGAGTCAGCCTTGCTTTCAGCATTTGATTTCATTGCAAATGATAGACCAAGATAATGTACCTGATGGTTCATCTTCTGAAAGGGGGTGAGTGGGCACCATGCCAGGCTCCCCAAACAAAAGAGTAGTGGTTTGTCTGAGGTCAGACCCTGTGTCTTTTCCCCACCTTTCCCTTCTACAGACATTCTGCCAGGTCTGCATGAATGAGAAAAAGGTCTATGCAGTGCAGCTCAGCTCTGGTGTTTCTTTGCAGGTGTTAGCCTCCCTCATCATCCGCCTGGCCCTGGCCGAGACGTTCTGCTTGAACTGTGGCATCCTTGCTCTGGATGAGCCAACAACGAATCTTGACCGAGAAAACATTGAGTCTCTTGCACATGCTCTCGTTGAGTAAGTATCTCAAATTTGGTGGCAGGTGATGATAATTTTTAAAGTAAGAATAAGAGTTCTCTGGTGGAAACCCTCTCTAGATGTGTCTTCCTTGGGGAAGCTAGTTGGTGTCAGACCTTAGGCTTCACCTTTTGATAGTAATTCTTCAGATGCTTAGGAAAAAACTGGATGGTGAACAGCAGCCCCAGATACATCCTGCATCTCGCCAAGTGTGTTCGTAGGGAAACTCACAGTGTGAGTTTCCTGTAAACCCCACAAAGACCCACATGCCCTGCTAAGAACTTCCTAGGAGGTGAGAGTGGGTTTTGGACTGTGTGTCTCCCTAGCTTTTCACATGTGTCAGACAGCATCTCTGAGGAATGAAAGCTTATTTAAAAAGTATATTAGTGGTTAAGAATCCAGAGAGTCAAATTGCACATACCTTTGAGCATATTCACCTGTGATAGACAGGCTCCAGGGCTGGGCAGCTATTGCTGAAGGATTGTGCTGGCAGTGGAAAAGCGCTTCTATAGAGAAGCTGTTCTAGGTACTCCTGGCTTCAGATAGACTCTTTCTGGCAGACATAACGTCTCCTATCTGATCGCAAGGATGGGACTGGGAGAATCAAGCGACCATAGAGCCACCTTCCTCCAGCCATCTGTCAGTTGTCCTGCACAACCAGTAAATAAGGGTTAGTGCTCTTGAAACCTAAGTGCATCCATGTCAGACAAGGGGCAAGTAAGTGGTTAGTTAAAAGAAAAAGTCTCTCAGGTCTGTCTCATAGCTAGTACCTCGGCATATAGATAATGAGCAAAAATGTTCTCAGAACACCCACTCAGGCCTTCTCGGTGTTGTCCTAATGATGCATCTAGTGACTGACAGTGGCAGAATTCTAAGTAGACTTGACTCCTAAGAAGGCAACAAGGCTTGTATATGTTATTTCCCTTACCTGTAATGTTGTTTTTTTTTAAATTTTCTTCCAGAGAAAATTAGTAACAGGTCAGGAAAACCCCAGGCAGAAGAATACGTCAAACTCCTAAAGTTGAACAGCACAGATACTAAGGAAAATTAGTAAAACTTTTCCTCCTGCTTTAGTAAGAAGAACCTTGTATTCTGGAAGAAAGTAGATCATGCATTCTTACCAGTCCCTAAGCTAGACCTAGGAGAAGAGTCACACCCGGCGGCCCCGCTGTCTGCAGAGGATCTGGACTCCTGCCTGGGTCTCCGCCATCCCTCCCCCACTTCCTGCTGGGCTGTCAGAGGCCCCGACAGGCACGTGGCACAGGAAAAGCCTGGTCAGCACACTCAGCACACATTCGTGTGTCTGACAGGGTTCTCAGTAGCTTCTTCAAAGAAACGCAATGGTTATTTATGCTCTTTAGTAATAACATCTTCTAAATATATTGTTTCAGGATAATAAAAAGTCGCTCACAGCAGCGTAACTTCCAGCTTCTGGTAATCACTCATGATGAAGATTTTGTGGAACTCTTAGGGCGTTCTGAATATGTGGAGAAATTCTACAGAATTAAGAAGAACTTTGATCAGTGCTCAGAAATCGTGAAATGCAGTGTTAGCTCCCTCGGATCTTATGTCCATTAAAAATTGTCAAGATTTAAATGTCTTAAAAACACACTTCCTTGGGCAACTGCTTATTTCTGGTGCCAGCTGAATCAATAAAAAAATATATTCTATCAAAGGAGCTTCATGTCTAGGACTATGAATGTCTGAGAAGTTCTAAAATAATTAAAGTTGTTTCACATGCAGTTTGGACCGACTCCCTGACCTGCATCCCCCCAGACAGCCGGGAGGGGCCTGTGGGCTCTTTGCAGCAGCTCAGCGGGGTGGCTTCTTGGCTTTCCTCCCCAGGACCTGAAGCTGCAGGTTTACCTTTCACTTCTCAAAGTACTGTCAAGAGGTAGGATCTCACTGCCTTGACAAATCTCAGTTTGAGAATTTTTTAAAAATCATCATTAAGTGTTACCTCCGAACTTATTTCTTTAGCTGTAGTTTTTAAAAAATTAGTTATCAGTAAGTATTACTATCTGAAAATGACCAGAAATGATATTTTCAATATTTGGCTCTGCTTTTAACTTGATAAATCCAGGCAAGATCTCCCTCTCTGGGTCTCAGTTTCCCCAACTAAAATTAGAAGTAGTCAAATGAGGTTTCAGGGTTTGAAAGGAACCTTAAGTAATCATCGAATTCAGTACCCACCATCTTCTCTGCCAGTTGTCATCCAGACTTCGGGGTACAGGGGGCGCGTTCCCTGCTGTGACACCCACGTTTAGAAAGCTGGGCCAAGTGCAAGGCCTCCTTTCACTTGGGGCTTCATCTGCCATCATGAACGAGTCTGTGGCTGTCCTGTCTGTCTGCCCCACCATCAGTCCTGGTCTCCAAGTGAAAGGAGGCAGAACTCACAGAGTCATGACCTTCTCCCAGTGGGGTCCAACCATACCTGGAAGAGCAGGCCTCTCATTTTCATTCCACATGTCATTTCTAATAAAAGCCCAAATACACCTTTCTGGAATTGTCACTCAGCATCTTGAAGCCTTTCACGAGCATTCAGCGCAGAGTGCTACCAAGTCACACAATTCTGAATGGGCCTAGAGTTTTATCATTCAGAGTCCGTTGGCCTCTTGATTGGTTTTGTGCCAACTGCAAATCTAATGAGTGTCTGGTGCAGACAGCCTTTCCCAGCCAGAGTCTAGAAGAGAATTAAGCCCTAAGGTCCTAAGGTACCTGTGGTAAGTTAAATACCAGCTTCCAGAGAGATGGAGGTCCTGATCCCTGTGCCTGTTACTCAGTGGCAGAGGGAACTTTGAAGATGTGATTAAAGCTAAGGATCTTGAGGTGGGAGATTATCCTGGCTTACCTTCAGTATAATCACAAATATCCTAATAAGGAGGCAGAGAGAGACTGGACTGCAGAAAAGAAGGTGATGTGTTGGCAGATAACAGATCCTGGAGCAGTGCCCGCAAAGGTGAAGGAAGGGCTGTGCGCCCAGGGATGCAGGTGGCCACGAGAGGCTGGCAACGGGAAGCGGGCTTTCCTCTCAGAGCCTCCAAAAGGAACAGCCCTGCTGACACCTTGGCTTTGAGCACTGATTTTGTATTTCTGATCTCCAGAATTAGGTAAGAGAATATAGCTTTGGTTTTAAACTGTTGAATTTATGCTAATTGTGTGTTACAGTAGTAGTACAGTAACACAGGTCCACTGGATGTGGTCAGTTTCTGTGCATCTAAAATGATTCTCCCTACTACTGTCCTTGAGAGAACTGGAAAAGTTACTCAAATCATTTTCTGTGTTCACATGAAGAACCCTGGGCTGGCCCAGACCCTCACCCATTCCCTGGATGAGAGGGACAAGCTGCTACTTTAACCATCTGCTTCCTGTCCCCTGATGATGTTCAGTCATCCTGAGTAGCTACAAAATACTAGTTACCCATATTTACTAAACTGGCGTGATCTCAACAAGGATACCATGAAAAAAAAACAGCAGACCAATTTCAGAGCATAGATCCAGGAATTCATAAATTAAGAGCAAATCAATTCCAGTCATATATTAAACATACATGATAACAAATATTTGTATCCCAAGGATACAAGAATATTTCAGAAAATGATAGATCTGTTTATAAATCACAAGCTAAAGGGAAAAAAGTCTGATACCTAACACCATTATTTAATAAAATCCAGTATCTCCTAGTACTAGCAAACTTTTATTTACTTTTGTAAATAAAAGTATTTTCTTAATGTTTGTCACCAAGTCAAAATTAAACTAATACTGATCTTAGTAGCAAAAGATGAAATTCTTACTGTTAAGGAAACCAGGTACCTTCTGTCAGCATGTTTCTGAAAGCTCTACCCATTGCAGAGAGGAATGACAGACAAGGCAATACAAGATCAAGATAGGCGATGAAACAGTTACTTATAAACAAATCTCCCAGTTTAGAATCTGATTTTTCCCTTGCTGCCCTTCTGAGAGGGGCTGTTGTCTCTCCCGGTCCTGTGTCACTGGGCTTGGAGGTGGAGCAGATGCCCCCGCTTTTCACTGCTACTTCCACGCCATTCTCCAAGACATGCCCACCCCAGCACGTGCACTTGCGGTGGGCCCACATCCCAGGTGGAGGTTAGTCAACACGAGCCTCCCGGGCTCCGGTCCCAGCGCCGCTCGCTAGCCGGTCACTTACCCTCTTTGCTTCTGTTGCCTTGTCTGTGAAAGCAGTGAAATGGGACCCATCTCGCTGGGTTGTTAGGAGAATTAAGTGACCTCATAAACTGCTTAGAACTGCCCGGTACGTAGCAAGTACTGGGGAAGTCTGTCCGAGACAGCTCCTCTCCTCGGTTTCCCCTGCTGTTGCCGCCGGCCCACAGCGCGGTTGACTCCCCGTGTTCACTGAGTTTTATCTCAGTTCACCGTCATTCTCCAGACTAGCCTCCTAGTCATTGGCGATCTTAGCGTCCAAATGATGATCTAAAACAACCCGTCGCCCTCACAGCTCCTTGTTGCTTCCTCCGGCGAGAAGACCCTCACTTCACAGCCTTACTCCAGAGTCCAGGCCTTTTCATAACAACCGCAGCCCCTTCAGCCTCAGCTTTAAGCACCTCACTCCCCACAATACTGAGAGCTTCAAGTTCACTCCGGGGGTGCCGACCCCAGCAATTCTCTGAGCGCACCGGGATTCCAGTCCGTGGAGTCCACCACTTGGCAGTCCTTCACTTCCCTCCAGCCTCTACGTCTCTCCTGGTACAGCGTAAATTCCATGGTTCTCTCACTGTCATAGGCCCTCCGCTGTCCCCAGACTCAGACGACCCCCAGCCCCCAGCGCGTCACTCTGCTTCTCCCTGCACACGCCGGGTCCCCACCTCCCTGGCCTTCGGATGTTGCGGTGCTTTAGTGCTCAGTCTTGACTCTGCAACCTCTTCTCTATACTCGCTTAGTGATCTCATCTAGTCTCATAGCTTTAAGTTATTACATTAGTTTGAGTGCCCACAGAAGCAGACCCTGAAACAGTGATTCAAGCAAAAGGAACTTAGGAGACTGGGGAAACTACATGAAGGCAGCCACTGAAGAGTGTCCTCAGCCAGCTACCATAGTAGGCAACTGTAGCTTAGTCCAACAGGGACACTTTGGAAATTTTGGCAAAATATATACTTCAGAATATCCCACATGAGGGACAAGAGAGCTGGGGTGTTTATATAACACCTCCTGAGAGTTCCTAATAGGGCTGTTCCAGGGCCTGTTAGCTACCAGCTTGCCATTTGCACCTTCTACTGAGCTGTCTTCACGATGGGTTCGGTGACACAGAAATGACAACAGAATGCTGTTGGGATAAAAGGCTTTACACTTGGCTTTATTCACAAGGTGGTAGGGTAGGTTGAGCACTAGAATCATGTCTGCATCCAGAAGTCTGCAGGGCTGTAATCCACCTCCAGCACTGGGCAGAGTTCTTTATATAGTGACTCAGTCAATAATTGCTATTTGCCTACGGGTGTGGAAGCAGTAGCCCTGCAGCAGGCCAGTTACACCATCAAGTAGTTTAGGGTCACGTGAGGATCCCGGCCATAGGAACTTTCATTTTCCCCATAGCTGCTTTTACATAGTTAGAAAAAAAAGTCCCTTTAAGAGAGGTACCAACAACAGGCAGAAGTGGCTGAAGTGCACTGGAAGTTCTTAGGATAAAAGACAGGGCACTGACTCCTACTTTAACGATCATCTAGATGCTGATTCTTCAGTGTATCTCCAGTCTAGATCTCATCTCAACTCCTGACTCATGTGGTGCTGCCTGAGGGACATCAAGCTGCACTTGAATATCTAGTAAACATCTGAAACTTAACCAAAACCAATCTTTCCTCCAGAACCTGCACCTGCCATAGGCTTTCAATTAACAGCAACTACATTCTTCCAACTGCCAGTTCCAGTTGGCATCATCTTTCATTCTATGTATCTCATATCCCATATCCAGTCCATCAGTTTGCTACAATGGGTTCAACTTTCAAATATATCCAGAATCTGACCATGCCTCACCTTCTAAACCACCACTGCCCTGGTCCAAGCCACCATCTCTAACCTGAATAATCTAAGTAACCACCTAATGCATCACCAGTTTGGTCCAGCACCCCACCCCCACCAAAGTTTGTTTTCAACAGTGGTAGTCAGTCATCTTTTTAAAAGTAAATCAAATAAATATGTTCCTCACATGGGTTGTAGGTTAGCAATTCTGAGACCAGTTTACATACTAAAGTCAAATACATACATGTAGATAATAAGAACCACATATCTCATTGTTGAAGAAAGATGTTTGCATATCAGGAAAGGGGAAAGGCTAGAAAGAGAACCCTGTAGTATTAGATTGAATCCAAAGTATCAGTGTAAATATACGGTTTTAGTGTATAAAAGATTTCTACGTCCTTAGGGAAGTAAGAGAAAGGCAGGGAGCCAAAACTCTGCTCCCCCATAAAAGCAATGAGAGCTCTGGCAGAAATCATCAAAATCAGCTTCTTCAGAATCTGGGAAATTAAAGGCTTGCAACAAGCCAAGGAGTATTTATTCAAGGAAGACAGCTGAATCTCAGCAAGAAAAGCCAGTAGTGTTTTAACTTATCTGACACACTCCCCTCTGTGAGAGTTTTGCAAACCCAAAGCCCTGTAACTACAGTACCTGTGAAAACTAGAAGCCAGTGGAAGGAGCAGAATGGAT